CTCAACCAAAACAGTGAGCATAGGAGTTTTAATAAAAAAGAACTGCTACAGTGCATTGACTGCCGTATGCGGGGAGTATTGTATTTTCTACTTGATGCACCGAGCACGTGGTGTTAGTATGAGTACTATTGTCAATCTTTTTAGTTCAAACAAACTGCATAATGATCAATTAGTGTATGAATTTGTAATGAAGTATGTGTAACTCAATAAACCAAGACAATAAATTTTGAAATAAACTTTTATTTAATCATATCAGATTCGCTTACAATTTTAATAGTTTAGCCACTCTAAAGTTTTTTTCCCTCGAGGGGGTACTTCAAGACCTCTTTTCTGTAAATTTGGCGTAACGGGTAGTTTTCTAGGTCGACTAGGAGGGGTGGGTTGAAGTAACGGTGACATTGCAGAAGGTGTTGTGGGAGGACGTCTTCCACCAGCTTTAAGCGTAGACAGCAACCGTCTTCGATTCTCATTACGCACAAAATCTTCTGGTGTGTTCAATTTCACTAGGACTTGGGTAAACGCATCTCTTCCGGTGGGAGAAAACCCTTTCCGCATCCTCACAACGTCATTGATCAGATCAGAAATGCTTGATCCTTCGATAGATTTGCCCTCCAAGGACACCTGCCCCTTCTCATCCCACTGAACTGCCTCAGGAGTCTTCTTTATCCAGCGCAATAACCCCTCAGCTTGATTTCGAAACGTTCTAGGGACCGTTCCTAAAATCTCTGAATCAGAGACAGTTTGAGGTCCCTGTATTTGTTGTTCTTGTGCTGGTACCGGATGGGGTTCCTGTGGTGGTGCTACAGCTTCCGTGGTTGAGTGAATTTTGACTGTGGGAATATGATTTTCCCGCTGCTCTTGCAGATTTAAGTAGCGGTCTAGCAATTGCTCATGATTCTTGATTTTAATTTCTGCCGGTAAACTCGGGTCTGCTATAGCGTTATTCATTCGTTGGTTGAGAGAACTCATAGACTTGACTAGTGGTGAAGTTTGAATATCGTTTTGTTGTTGAATGATATGCATCACCGCCTCAGGTACTAAATACATCTTCCTGCTGTGTTTCATAATTTCTTTGATATAAGACTAGCGAGAACTGACAAGACGGGTGGTATGAGAAATGGRAGAAAATTTCCTCCGGTCTGGTTCAAAGACTCTCTCTTGTTCTTAATAGAGACCTTTTTATCTGCTAAAGTACGCAAGACTGTCTTGTATCTCCTGAGTTTCTTCTTCTGCTTTTCGTTAATGGGGACTATGCCCTTCAAAACGTTCAATGTCACTTCACAGATTGTTTTGATTAATTCTGAGTTACAGCACTTTAGAATAGCACGTCTTAGTTTCGGATTAGATTTAGCTAGTACGCGTAAAAAGTCTGCGTTGTCTCTTAGTCGACGAGACATCATCAAATGATGAGATTAAGTAATGACAGACGTTTATATGCGCCTGACATAAACCACWTGYTGATCGTCCGGAAAGATTGAAGTTCGAAGACGGATTTTCTCAGAGGTTGATGGATGAAGGTCAAAGACCAGGTAGCCGTATGGATTTTGAACTGCGTCTTCATAACTCTCCATCACATATTTCGTAGCGTTAGGGAAGGYTTGCCTTGCTAAGATTGAAACTCCCAGAGAATCTCTAGGGTGTTTGAAAGCCACGATGTAGTGAGTGTTGAATGAAATCGTCCTTGAATGTTTTCCTGGTGGGAAAAGATTTTGAACTAAGAAGAGTGTAGAAATGTTGCGGTGATGACAGCCTCTCGTTATCACATTGACCATCGAGTCTTTACTTGTACTTTCATTCATTAGATCATCTAACACCAAGATCCCAGCTTTGTTATTGAACAATGAATAAATATCTTCTGGAAATCCTTCAATAAATTGAATGTTGTGAATTTTTCTTTCCATGTCTAAGAACCGCGGTTGAAATTCACCGTAGCAGTACACAATCTTTTCAATCTTTTCACTAAACATTTCATCTACATTTCTTAAAAGTTTTTCAGTCCAGTAGGACTTGCCGCAAAACGTCGGACCACACACTTGGATGTTTGACGGGTGTTTTAAAGTAACATCCATCACGTTCAGAGGTTGATGAGGGACTAGATTACTCTCTAAAGTGTTCACATTTTTATATTCTTTGAAAAAAAGTCTTGCCTCTTGAAGATAGGGTTTTCTTTATTCTTTAGACATGAAATGCACATTTGCTAAATGATTAGAAAGTTTGACTAGATTTGTTTTTAAACACCCTGGTACAGGACAATCTTTAGGGTATCG